CACAATTAAGAAAAAAATTTACCCTCTGTGATTAATATTCATATTCGCGACTCGGGCAATTTGTTAAACTTTGAAAACATGCGTAAAATTAAGAGTAGATTTTTTACAAAATCGCGTATTGGGTGCTCAAATCCAATCAGATGCTAGAATGAGAAATTGATAGAATGAATAGGGTGATAACATGGCGGCCAGTGTTTATAATTATTATATGAGTAGCTGTACTAATTCACTGCTTGTTTTTACACGATAGCTGTTGGATTTTCATATAATTTTCTTACTAACGTAAATATACTATGGAAATGATGTGCACAATTGATAAACAATATAAAATTTAACAGTATAATGAAAGAACTACAAGCGATGCAATGTTACACATGGGGTTTGGAAGGTTTGACTATCACAGAAGCATATGGTAGGTGTACGTGCATTTTCTCTGATTTTTTCGGATTTTACTGCTTCCGATCACAATAAATTATAGTATACAACATTCCTTTGATATTCTATATAAGTTTTAAAAAAATGCATCTTGAAGAAAATTGGCGATGTTAGTCCGATGTAAATATTGCCTAATTTTACAAGCGATTCAAAATTTGAATTTCAATAAATAGTGAGCACATAAATCTATGTATTACCAAACTGATGTCCACCACTTTTATATTCCGGCATTTGCCCTGCAGTGGCGTGCTGCAGGCCAGGGCCGGATTAACGTTCCGCAGGGCCCGTGGCATATTATCAGCGCGGGGTCTCTTGCCCCCCCCCCCTCCCCCAACCTTCCAACGGCATTTTAGACACTGACTTCAACAAGATTAAAAAATATCCTCTTGTATATCATGCGTTGAAAAGTTTCCTGTGTATTTACAAACAAAAAGAATTATACATCAATAATTTGATCGAAATGAATTTCAACCCAGTTAACATTATTATTACTTAATACAGGGGAAAAATAGCTAAACATGATACCGTCCATATAAACTCCTGCCGTCTTCCACAAAATTCAGCGATCTTTTAGTATTTAACGGTTTACTGTTTTAAATTTTGATATTTTCTGACCCCTATGATTTTTTTGGCCTCGCTTTCCGGAGTCCCTTACCCAGAGAAGGGACAACAAAAAATTGTTTCCGGCCCTGCTTTTGGAGCATCGCTTTTTAAACTTTGGGGCCTCGTGTTTTTTTTTATTTTGGGGCTTCGCTTTTAGGGGCCTTGGACTCTTCGGGGCCCCGCGCTGTTTGGTTCCCGCGCTGAAACAGGAAAGAAAAAAACAGTTTCGGGCCCCGCTATTTGGAGCCCCGCTATTTGGGGCCTCGATTTTTAAATTTTGGGGCCTGATGTTTTCTGGAGACCTCGGGCTCTTTGGGGCCCCGCGCTGAAACACTGAAACAGGGAACAAAAAAACGTTTGGGCCCAGCTTGATGGGGCCTCGCTTTTTAAATTTTGGGGCATTCGCGTATTCTGGGGGACTTCGGTTCTTTATGGCCCCTCACTGGCGCACTGTTTGGGTCTCGCACTGAAACATGGAACAAAAAAATTCGGAAAAAAATAGAAGAGAGTAAGCGCGGGGCCCCCAAAAGCGCGGGCCAGTGGCATATGCCACTTCTGCCATATGGTTAATCCGGGGCACGCCCCCCAGCTGGCAATTATTGGGGGGGGAGCGCAGAAATGAAAACGAGGCGCCGATTCCGCCGAATTTTGAAAGTGGGTGGGAAAAAACGCATTTAAAAAAATAATATAGTTACTTCCACCAAGAAAAAATGTGTTTATAGACTTATAAACAGACTGAGCGCATAGGCGACAAAGTGATATATTAAAATACAGACTATTTTGTCTAACCAGCCAGTATTGCTACCTCACACGAAATCGTTCATATAGAAACATGATCAGTGATCACACGCAATGTCGCATTACCGGAATATTGGTCTGGTTTCGAAGCGATCACGGGAATTATGCCCTTTGTTGCTGGTATTATACCCTTATATTATGCCTTTATTATGCTTCATGAATCACGAGAGCGGCGCAAATTAGATAGTTATGATAATGTAAAGTTGTGTACGAAATTTAGGTGTTTGCCCAAGAAACATCATGACTGATTGAGTAATGTAAGTAATAAGATAATGCTGAAACGCGCGCCCTTTTGGAAGCCAGGCAAGGAAACCTTAAAGTGCATGGTGTATCACTGACATCGACTCGCACCGATATGCAGATGAACTGCTCAACTTTGCAGAATCTTCTCAAAAATTGAAGTGTTCAGTGATTTTTGATGAAGACAAAGAAGAAGAGAAAGATTCTGATTTAGACTCCGGTTCTGAATCTGAAACCGAAGACCACGAAGAAGAAACCGACAGCGAGTCAAGCGACGACAGAACTGCTGAAGAACCAAATGACAAGGATAAACCATCATTTCTAGAGGCTCTGAGAATTTTGTTGAATCTTGATTACCACCTAGTTGATGCATTTCCAACTCTTTGTAAAGTTTACGCGATCGTAGTTGCAATTCCAATCAAACCCGCGCAGGTTCGTCTATGTCTCAAGAAAAACTTGAAGCGTTGCTACTTATGACCACTGAACAGAAGATTTTTATGTCTTTGGAAAAGGAGCAGATTATTACCGCCTTGGAGGTCTGACATCAGAATTGTCGAAGGCGCTTATATGAAAATGTTAAGAAATGCTAGAAATCGACAATCGTTATTGAAACATTAAAGACATTGGAGAACATCGATCGATCGATATGGGCAATATTTGACGTTATCAACATTCGATACAACACGTGATGTAGAGTAACAAACAATCAAGTGATATACTGTATAGTATTAACTCTTTTTGTATATGTTTTGACAAAAAAAACATGACAGATTCGTATCAATAAAGTGCAAGCACACTTTTTAGAAAAACATTACAAGTTATTAGTGAGATCAGCGTTTAATATAAATCAAAATATTTTATACAAATATACTCAACGAGTGACTTTATTCCTCCATAATTAATCTAAAATAAAGATTTATAGTAAAACTGATACCGTACTAATTAATTTAAGTACTACTACAAAATTCTAACCAAATTGCAAATTTCGACACCTTATAATCTCGTTTTCTGACCATCAGATTTCTGTCAAATCTTCCCCCAAAGTCCAGTAAATGGCATTTCAGAGACTTTATATTTAAATATTTTCGGGGGGGGCATGCCCCGGACCCCCCTAGGAACACCTCGCACCTGCGGCGCTCGGCTCGTGCCTTCGGTCCTCGTTTACCAAGCGTTACATTATAGGGGCGCGTATTGGTTGATAGCTCACTGCCCCCCCCAGAAAAATAGTACCCAGCACGCCACTGTTGCCCTGGGTATATGCATGCTTACAAAAATCATAAATTGATGAAGATTGGGGTGGGCGGTCGAACGTTAGTTTTCAACATTTTAATATCAATCGGAATTACAGTATTCACAACATGTATTTACTGAATAGCCCATCGGAGTATTGCTATCTGTTCATTGAATATAAATTGTGTTATGCTGTAAGCTGTGTGTAAACATGATTCTCAGTTCATTTTATATTTCTATGGTGATTATAGATTGTTTGAACATGTTTTGTTTCTAAAATCCATAGGTTTTCATGTAAGCTAAATTGTCCTGAATTTTCGCCTCGTTGAGAAGTATCCAGGGCAATAATTCACGATAATAAAATAATAATAATTTTATAATAACGTTAACTTTAATAATAATAAAATACAAATTTCTCTCACCGATTTCTCACTGTTTCTCTATCGCTGGTTTTTCTCGCATGCTTATTAGCCACGTGACCCATCACAAAAAGTGCCAATGTTCGCCTTGGCTTCGTAAAGCTCCTTAACGAGCCCAATTCGCTGTACACACTCCCCGATGTATATATACTCTGAGAGTTTACCTGTCACAATACGAACGAACTGGGTAAGTAAGTAAATTAAACAATAATATAAATGTTTATAATAACTAATTAACCGTCTTTCGGTAAGTGTTCTGCGATCTTTAAAGTTCCTGCTCATCCTCTGCAATGTCTCATGCGTAAAGTAGTTGCCGCTGCAGCACTTCGCTTCCGTCTTGGTGTGAACTGTGCATCTGGATCTAGACGAGTTGTCATCTCTTTATCGCATTCTACCTCTAACGGGAACAAGTGTTGTATCGCGCGTTCCAGGCAATTATTACCACCAGCAGTTTTAAACTTAGCTTCCCCTATTACATCGTGTCTACCCGTTAATTGAGACTATGGCAAGTTTCCAGGTATTTCTTTGTTTGTGGTCTTCCTTTACAATCACGATCTCTCCAACTTCGGGATGTTGCATTGATTTTGGTCAGATCATTCGGTGTTGCTCACGAAGACTATGCACGCACATATTCTCTGGTACACCGATTCCACATCGCTTGTTTGCATTTTAACAGATGTTTTGCTCGCTTTCTCAGATCTTTCTCTTCGATGGTGCTTTTCCAGTTCGGGAATGTAGGTGGTTGGGTGTGGAGCATAGCATTGAGTGTGGGCACAGGTAACTGCACATCATCATCTAAGTAACACAGGGAGCGATTATTCATCGCTATTTCGATATCTAATCATCATTGCCGATTGACTTATAGAATGAACTCTTGAATAACACGATAGGCTTTGGCTCGGAATCTCTTGCAACCGTTGCAGTATGAACTGATATTCTTGACTAAAGGGCGAAGCCGAAGAACCCAGTAATGTTCACGTACGTTCGCCATAGTTATACTGACTACCCCGTGTAGAGTCGACAGGTGTGCTTCACGAACTAAAGATGACGCGAAATGATGGAAGTCTGGTATATAGATGGGATATTCCCCGATAATTCTGCCTCTAAACTCAGGGATTCCGACGTTGTTCTCCTGTAAGTTTAATCTCTTTCGGTTAGCTAACTATCATGCATCGTGCTTGACTGCGTCTTGGGCCCGTCCTATCCACCATTCTCGTTGTTGATAAACGTCGTGAATGTTGATGGGACCTCTCTCTCTCTTTTGTCGGTATTCACCTTGATCATTAATCCAATACAGAGCTACGGTTGAATCGAGCCAACAATGAACAGTTGCTGGATGAGTAGTGAGAGCTTGTTGAATGTTTGTGGCTAGGTTTACAGTCATGTTTCCCGATATGAGCTCAAGACGTGGGATGCTCAAGTTCCGCTTCGCTATCCGTGACTTCGAACGGGTGAAATCTAGATCTAACAAGAACGTCCCACAACAGGTTCTGGAGAGGGGAGGCCTGGGTGGAGGTTTGAGGGATGGTTGGAATCCGCTCTCTATCGCAGACGCGTCATACACCACTCTCAACTTAGTGGTTTCAGTTTGCTTCCTTTCTATACCTTTGTGGGGAATGTAAAATTCTTTTGCTGTTTCAGTGGTAGGTGCCAGTTCAATTACTCCCTGATTCAACTGTTGTTGTATAATGTCATTAGGGACCTTAACCTTGTACGACGGCAACGCGACGACGACAGCGAAAACAAACTTATTCAAAGAAATTATTGCGAAGAAGAGTTGTTGTGTATTATCCACTGCATGTATATATGGATTGAGTTCAGTTTGAAGAGATTAAAACAAAGGCTTTATGGATAAAAACGCTTCTGCTGAGCAAATTTGTAGTTTCACTTGTCGCATCTTGACATGTTTGCGTTGTACACAAGACGTGAAAATCTCTGATTTATCGTTGTAAAAAGCCCTAACACAACCTCTCTAACTCCCGTTGGGCTCTTAATTATTCATTTCTTTTGTATGAGATCAGGAATATCATTGTGTGAATAACAATAATAATAATAAATAATAATAATAATGGTTTAATAGCATTTCCACATTGTGGCTATTCTATGCTACAAAAGGTTACATGTTGATGACAACATTATGACAACATTAAATTACTACAATATTATAGTATATTAGAGACCTATACTTTACAAGAGATAATCAAACGACAAAAACGAAACGACACAATGGACACATTACGTAAAAATATAAACACGCTGTGTTTCATACTAAATGTTGCTAATTTTGTTCATTGCTAAGTCTCTGAAATGAGCGAAACAATTTCGGCAATACTCTCTAAAGTTATTACTGTTCCGAATGTCTTCGGGAAGATCGTTGAACACCCGAGCAGCCTCGCCTTGAAAGGTACCAGAGACACGTGGAACGACCAAGCGACGGGAAGTCGATGAACGCAGAGGTCTTGTAGGCTCATACTCGTCAAGTTTTAGGTACGAAGGCCAGTCGTTGGAATGAATGGCTTTAAAGACTAGTTTGGCTAAATGATAGTCCATACGCTCCACAACAGGAAGCCAACCAAGAGAGAGGATGTCACTCATACTGGCATATTTCCGCAATACAAAACCTGCAACAGCCAACTGCATTCGTTGTAAACGTTTTAGTAAGTAATCAGGAACTGGATCACACACAACATCGTTATAATCTAGTTTTGACAAAACTAGACTCTCTGCAAGTTGTTTTCTGATATTATATGGTGCTAAATATTGCAGCTTTCTCAGAAACGATAATATGGCGTAACACACTGAAATTTTCCTATTAACGTCATCGTTCCATTTCAAATTCTGCTGCATTACAGTGCCAAGAAGAAGCGTATTGTTCGTTTGTTTAAGTTCAACACCATTGGCGTGAAGATGGATGGAATGTTCTTCCAGATGATGAACACGAGAGAGCTGAGTTGTAGAAAAGAGCATGACTTTCGTTTTCTTGGGGTTAAGGACAAGGTTGTTGAAAGTAGACAAGGTTGAGAGATCATCAAGGTTAGACTGAATGTTATTTTCACACGAGTTTATATCAGCTGGCTTGCAATGGGAATAGAGGGAAGTGTCATCAGCATTCTGGTGAGAAGATATCGTAGGGTCAAGATTGTCGGAAAGATCGTTCACATAGAGGTTGAACAGAACAGGAACAAGAATGGAACCTTGTGGAACTCCAAAACAGACATCGGTAGTACTTGATACCGCTTCATCGATTTCTACAAACTGGCGTCGTCCAGTGAGGTAGCTTGTAACCCACTTGAGGTAAACTTTGGAGAATCCTTGCCGGTGAAGTTTCCTCAAGATGGTCGAATATGACACAGTATCAAATGCTTTGGAGAAGTCGGCAAGAACAGCTATTGTAACTTCACCTCTTTTCATAGCTCGATAAATGTCATCTCGCATTGCCAACATGACAGTCGTGGTGTTGTGACCTCTGCGGTAGGCACTAACTGATTCTTCAAGTACTCCAGTAGTTGTGTTGGTTACGAAATCAGACATTTGTCGAAGAACCAGACGTCCGAAGATCTTGGATAAGGTTGGAAGAATGGATATAGGACGGAGGTCGTTGTTTGGATGTTATCTTCTCAGCTTTTGGAATAGCACAAAGACGCGCAGTCTTCCAAGGTGATGGAAATAGCTGCTTTGATATGCAATTGTTTATGATATGTGTCAGGGGTAATCCTAGCTGCTCCGCGACCATTTTGATGTATTTAACAGGAATACCATCAGGGCCACATGAACAGCCCGAACGCAAACTTTTGATTTCAGACAAAACTTCACGATAGCTAACTTCGCGAAGACGAAGAGCGCTAACAGGATCACCCGGTAGAGTGTCGATGAAAGCCCACAAATTTTCGGTTGGCTCAGGCGTTGTTCCAGTGACACGTTCACTTCTAGATGCGAAGTGGGTATTAAGCTCGTCAGGATCAACTCGCAAGGGTTTAGGGTTAGGGTTAAGTATTCTATGTATGATTGTCCAGGCTTCCTTTGGTTTCTTGGATGAAAACGCTCGCTGGTAAAAATCACGTTTTGCAGTTTTTATCTTGCACTTAAGTTCATTTCTAGCATCACGATATCTTGACCTAGAAAGTTCGTCAATGTTATTGGTGGTTGACATAACACGGAGAACTTGACAGTCTTTCTGAAGTTGGGCAATGTCACAATTTTTCATCCAGGGTGCTGGAGGGCGTGAGATTTTAGTCCGTTGGAGAGGTGCGTGTTGGTCAAGGCAATCACGAAATAGCGAGTTGAGGGATATTAACTTGCGTATCTGGATCATCAACGGCATACACAAGGCTGAGCGGTAGTACATCAAAACTTTTGATAAACGCACCGGCATTAAAGCAACGTTCGTTCCTAATCATTTTAAATCTTGGTACGAACCGTGGGACCCGAACGTTTAGACAGATGTATGGAGCATCATGATCACTTATCAATGGAGAGGAAGAACGTCGCAGTGTGTCACTTGTTGTTGAAGGTTGAGACCATACTTTGGGTATTGATATGCATGATCTTGAGATGGGCGTTATTTTTCAGGATATTTAGATGTGCATCGTCCTGGCAGTTATCATCATCTAACAGCGCAGAATTATTCAAAGACGTTTCTAGGATGCCATGACCATAAAAGGGCAACTTTGATAGTACGCATTTGTGACATGTCCAACTTTGTGGTTGACAGGATTTTATCTTGCTTACATAAGCGATTCCGAGACAACTGGCATGGAGAAAGTCTTTGCAGACATCACAGACAAATCGTTTTTGATTTCGTTGAACAGTTTTTTCACATTTTGAACAAGTTGAGGAATATAATCGACTAGATCTCTGTTGCGTACAATTCTGACGAGTTGAAGGATCATCGGCGTCGGAGTCAGGACCTGGGTTTAATTCAATGTCACCAGCGCATAACAATAATATTGAATACGACAAGTAAGTAAGTAAGTAAGTAAGTAAAAACTTTATTTGTCTACGCTAACCCCTACAGCAAGAGCTGATTTCCAAGAGGGGCGTAGGTTTAAAAATACAAACGTTACACTCAATTAGGATAAATATATATACAAGACTAACACATTACAATACAATTATACAATTATTATTACTCTACTATGGTCAAATAAATAAAATTTCATAAACTCATTATCTAACTGGCCAGGTGCCGCACACTTCAGTTAAATTGACTAAGAGAACATTTATTTCTTAGTCTATCTGGGAGGCATTCCACAATTTTGCTCCTCTATAATTAAGACCTTTTTTAAGATATTCGGTCTTAGGTTTGGGCAGGTAGAGATTTGTGGCATAACCTCGTAAGTTATAATGTTGAGACGAAGGCGTCTTTTGAAACATATCAATTAGTTGTTTGGGCGCTAGATCGTGGGTTATTTTGTACATGAGACTTGCTACAAATTGAGTTCTGCGTTCTTTCAATGTTTTCCAGTTTAGTTCATTTAAAGCAAGTTCAGATTGACCGTGTTCGTTTTTACGACCCGTAATTACTCTAGCAGCCCTATTTTGTAATTTTTGGAGGCGATCAGAGAGTGTGATACCAATAGTATCCCAAACTTCGCAGCAGTAGTCGAAGTGGGACAATATAAGTGCGTTATAAGCACATATTAATGTATTATGGTCCACACAGGGTTTGAGTCTTCTGATCGCTCCAATTCCGGATGAAACCTTCTTAGCAATTTTGTCAATATGCTTATTCCATGACAAATATTCATCAATACATACTCCAAGTGCTTTTGTTTCTCTCACTCTTTTAATTTGTACATCGCCAACGAACACATTTGGAACA